GCTGTAACTACAATTAATTATGCATGCAATTATCCCTAAACCTAACCTGCATTCGAACTTTAGCCACACAATAATATTACATCACAACAAACTATTAATTGATTGCATTTATAGAAAAGGTACTATATTATTGTGATACAGCGTTATCAGGATAAGAGACATATCATGAGATTATATAGCAAATTAAAATTTTTATACAAAATAAACATTGACTTGCCAACCTTAACCTTAATAAATGAACAGTTGATCGTAACAGCCTACACCATACCACTTTTTGAATCCAATTTCGCACTTTTAGCTTAGCTTAGCATGGATCATTGAATAAGATTAGACAATTAGCATCTAAATCTAAAACGAGCCAAGGGTTTTGATGACTTTCATATTTAATGCTCGACTTCTCTGTAGTTACAGAGGACTAGCCATTTCCTACAAGCTCGAAGAAGTTGCCAATGGTCTAATCTGATTCAATGCTTTATGCTAAGCTAAGCTAAAAGAGCTCCTGCCAGACCTTGAGATCGGCTGGATTAAAAGTAAATGGTAAAACTCAACGGTTGCTTACTCTTGCAGTTTATCAGCATTTGTTTCCTTTTCTCCATCGCTGTCTCTGAAGGATGATTCGCTGTTGGAGCTAGATCCCTCATTTCGGACATCTGGATCACCTGCCAGTGTCTCCTTGTCTACAGTCTGTTTTAGTAGGTTTTTCGGCTCCTCTAGAAGTAGCGTGGCATCGTTCTGCTGATTTACAAGGACCGAGTCGCCAACAGGAGGCAGTGACAATGAGGAGACTATTCGATCCTCCACGATTGATGGAAGAACTGAAGAAAGCAAGATGAAAACAACTAATTAATCTTAATCTTCAGCACTGGCTAACTGTCCTAATGACATAAATTTGTGATTTTCCATTTTTAAGTTCACCAAAAAATTTGAATTCTGTTGTTAAGAAACACTCCATTTTTAAAAAGAGGCAAATTTACAACATTTTACTCAGTAATTTGACCATTTTTTAGTCTATTCAGCCGATCTCCGGGTCTCAGATGCGCACTTTTAGCTTAGCTTAGCATAAATCATTGAACATGATTAGACTATTAGCAGCTCACTCGAAAAAAAAAAAAGACCAAACAGTTTTGATCATTTTCGAATGTCGAAAGTCAAATGTAACGTTTGACTCCTCTGTAGTAATGTTGTATGAAGACTGATGGAAAAATAGCAATTTGCTATTTTCTAGAAGCTCAAATAAGTTGCTAACGATCTAATCCGATTCAATTACCTATGCTAAGCTAAGCTAAAAGTGCTCCCGCCAGATCTGGAGATCAGAATGGATGGAAAAAAATTTAACTTAACAGTTTAACTCTATTTCCAAAAACAAAAGTGGCGTGTTTCTTTAACATATTTATAGGTGAACTAATACTTTCAAGTTCTCAAATCTGCTCGCTATTAAAGATATTCAATCCGTTTTCTTAAATTAACCATGTAAAATCATCTCTACACGGCCGATTTATTCAGAATTCCGTCTAAAGACTCTCTGCTGCATTCAAATGCTTACGTAAACAGACATTTTTGTAAATCTATGCCCCTTAAGGTTCGTTTTCTGTGCCGCCTTTGTTGTGTAAAGACGCTTTAAGCTTAGTTTGACAAAAAGGGATAGCATACAGAATGAATCTGGCATTAAAATGTTACCGTTTTTTTCCAGAGTGCCACATATATCTGATTGCAGCAAGGACAGCAAACTGTGCGACTTGCAAACCGAGTCCACATACCCATCCAGCTCACCAGGACGGCAGCTGAGCAACAATGAGAGCTGAAATTGAAGAAATTGAAGTATTGAAAACCCCAAAACAACCCGTAAATCATTCAGATAAGGTATTCGAGAAGCTCGTATAATCAGACCTGTTTGAAGTTTGGTACAGGCAGGAGTTGCTCCAATCTGGAGAGAAAAAAGCCAACGAGGACTTGCAGCGCTTTGTCAAAGTCAGGACCGTACTCCACTGGAAATACTTCCTGAAATACAAAAACTCTTCATTTTAGTTGCAGAACAGCTCTTAAATGAACACTATGGAGCTAGAGAAGTTATACAAACACTAGACCGCTAGTTTTATACACAAAGATATTTACAGCAGGTGTCGCCTACGCTGTTGTTGTCTATTGGAAGGAATGCGTCAATAGAGCTGCCATTTTGGTACAGGGTAGCGCTCCTTTGAAATGAACGCGGGATCAAGGTGGATTCTGATGACTGTGGCCATCCAGAGCCATAGGCTGCGTCCGAAACCGCCTACTACTCAGTAGGTACTGCATTTGAATTTAAACGTACTGCTCAGCTGTCAGAAAAGTGCGTTCTATACAGTATGAATGGAATTCGGACGTACAAAAGTTCGTAACATACAAAATCGTAAAAAACACCATCTTACCTATGACACGTTCTGCCTTTATGCTTTGTTTTGTCGTAACTACACCTGTATGCAGCGCAGAAGTCCAGCATCTTCCCACTGGCTTTAATTGAATGACTTTTGTCCTGGGAGCACTGTACCAATATGGCAGTGGCATTGACGCATGCTCAGGGTGCGTATGCTATATTTAGTTTATATATATATCCAAGTTTCGTTCCCATTATAATCACAAATGTTTTGCATTAAATACTAAATCATACTAGGCAAGTCTATACACAGAAATACACATACATAAGCTGTCACTGAGGCCACGGCTGCGACTGAAATTGTATACTTCATGCGAGTGTCACGTCTGAAATAGTAGCATTGGAAATTCAGTACGCGAGGAGTAACCGGATGACCGACTTCTTCCGGCGAGATTCTCAAGTGCACACCTAATGGACGCTACGCTATCGCATGATGCAACGCGAGAGAATTCATGAATGACAGTGAAGTGAGGGTCATGTTATAATGACAAATGGCAGACGTAGTACGTCCCGATGTGTAATCGGCCCCTAAGACCACTGGTGGAACTTTTTTTTATCTCAAAATAATGGCAGTGGACTTCATCCACTGACCTCCATTATACGAGCTGCGTCCTAAACCGTCTACTACTCAGTAGGTACTGTATTTGAATTTAAACGTACTACTCGGCCGTTAGAAAAGTACGTTCTATACAGTATGAATGTAAGCTGTATGAATGGAATTAGGACGTACTACGTCTGCCATTTTTGTCATGGTTAAGTGACCTACCTGCGTCAGTTGCGTCGCTTCACTCCCATTCATGAATTCGCTCGCGGGGCACCATGGGATAGCGCAGCTTGCATGGGATGCGCACTTCAGAATCTCGCCGGAAATAGTAAGTCATCCGGGTACTTCTTGCATACTGATTTTCGAATTCTATGAATTCGGACATAGCCTACTACTGATTTTAGCGTCGCTACTGTATAGTATGGAAGCATGCGGTTTCGGACGCAGCCTCAGTAATTTTCGCAAGCTCTATGTTAAATTTGTTCGCAAGTCTAATCACCTCGAACTTAATCACTTTTTGGTCAGCCAAAATCAGACAAATGGCCTAGGAAGAGTTCGATTAAACATGTTTTGCGAAAAATTCAAAAGAGCGGAAAAATTTTCAGAATGGAAAATGACGTCATAGGGTGCGTTTGAATCGGACTGAGCCAAGGATTCAGAGCATTTTGATTGTAACCCATTCGGTACAAAAGTTATAATATTAAACATAAGTGAAACTTTGGACAAGTGGTGTCTCTTTCATGAATTATCTCGCAAGGCATCATGGGATAGCGTAGCTTGCATGGGATGCACACTTTAGAATCTCGCCGGAAGTAGTACTCATCAGGGTACTTCTCGCATACTGGTTTTCCAATTCTATGAATTCGAACATACTACTCGGCTCGCACACTGATTTTAGTGTACTGTATAGTATGGAAGTATGCGTATTCAGACGCAGCCTCAGTCACCAAAAGACAACGATTTCAGCTCTAAATCTTCTTTAATGTTCTACTGAAGTAACGCCCCTATATCTTGGTAGGCCTGAGGGTGAGTAAATTGTGAATTGTCTATTTTCTGTAAACTCTCCCTTTAAGTTGCTTACATGTGTAACAGATCTAGAACACGGACCTGAAAGAAGTATTCTCGCTTCATGGCGTCCTCTAGCAAGCTGAGGACGAGTTGAAGTACGCTGTCCTGTAAGCTCTCCATGTCTGTGTCGCTCACCTGTGGACAGGTAAATTGCATGAATTAAAATATTGTGAATGTGTATTTTTGAAATAATAACGCCACAGGTAGTTAGTAGATCTGTGTTAAAAAAAAAAGACCTGCCGCCACAGCTGGAAAAAATCCTAGAGGAAACACTACATTTTAATAATAATTCGTCTAACATATCTTTCGTTTACATTGCACTGAAAGCCGCGCACAACTCTCACAGCTACGGCGTTAGATGTTTTCTGAAAGGCGCGAGCGCGTCTTCCGATTGCGCATGCATATTGGCATATATTCTATTATTGGAAATAACGAAATTGCGCAAAGAAAAGCAAGATATTTCATATGAGCTCGGAACTTTAAACTAGCGCACACGTGGCATAACTTTGTTTAGTTGCAGCAGTTTCGCTCTGTGCAACAGTAACGCGACACTGAGAAACCTTTAAGCTTAAGTTCCTAAATGTTTTGGGCTGCTCGCGCCACTCACTTGCTTAATGTCAGGTGACTCATGCTCTGCGCAGCCTATAACTGCAGCTTCGTGTGTATTGAGCAGACGCACGTCACTTCATAACTATAGCGGCCGTTTTTCGACTGAACTAAATTTATCTTTGATGTCTTGGTCACACTATTTTGAAGGGCGAAACAAAAAGCCTCGCGATCCGCCAATTGAATAGCTCTGCTCTATGGTTTGGCTACATGTGGAGAGCGTGCATCACGCGGACAGAGGAGCTTAGCCGGACCAATCGAGGAATATATTTATGCTTCTTTAGAGTCAAACACCTAAACAATGCTTGAAGAAATGTAAGACCTCGTGAAAACGGGATTAAGACTTTTTAAGGGCCTTAATTTTCAAATAATTGATTTATTAATACTTTTAAGGACACCCTGTTTAAATAGCTCCAGTTTCCCTGTATCTGTGTTTACATTAAGTAAACAATGGTGAGTTCGGTGGCCTTCACGACCAATCACAGTCATTTCTGTTGAGTACATGAACACAATGGCCAATCAGCGCTCAAATGTTAGCAGGAAATGAACGTTTTTAAAACTTCAGTAACAACAGGTAACGAATTCCAGTATCGTAACAAAACAAGAGTTGACCTACCTTCAGTAAATCGGTAGTCTGGATTTGGTGAATGTGTGATTTGACAGTGTGAAGGTCTGCTGGAAGCTCGCCTCGACACATCTCAAGAATCATCTAAAAGATAAAATCACAGCAAACAAAACAAATCAGAAAACTGACAGACAAAACAAAGTTTGAAAAGCTACACATCTAACTGTTTTGAGGTTGGTTAGGGCTGTTTCTCAATACAAAGTTTGCAAAGTTCGGACTTGCCAAGTTCAGACATGGAAGAACGAACTCCAGAGGAAGTAACGACGCAAGTCGGGTACTTCTTCAAATGGAACGGAAGTGTACTTTACAACGTCACTTACCTCACCATGGATTCATCAGTTTCACTGTACACGAACAATAAATTTAATTATATAAAACACGGCCCTGTAATTGTTATAATATTGATATTATAAATCTACATTTTTGATTTAAGAAAATGTAAACATAAATCACTATAAATGTGAAGTGAAATGGGTTATTATACACAGACTAGACCCAAAATCTATCCATTACATATTCACAAGACGTATTAAATATCATGTTTTACTACAATGGAGGGATGAGATCCAGCGGTACATCCGAGATGGACTGACTGAAGTAAAGCTGCCCTGGGGGGAAGGTGATAACGGAGCTCCCGCTGGCAGGCTGAGAGTCGGAGTCTGCATAAGCTGAGGCACATCGTTAAAGACGCGCTATCTTTGTGAATAAACTGCCGATTCGAGTTTAAACAGCTACATTCTCGCCTGAAAAAGTGTAAAACTTTATTTTGTGACACAGCAGAGGTGTATTTTTAAAACCGTGCGGGTTTTCTCCTCCACTGTTAGCATTCGCTGGTTTAGCTGCAATGCATTCTGGGATACCTGAGCTTCGCAAGTTCGCATAAGTCACCTCTCGATGCATCCTTGGCCATAAAGGCAGAGCAAGTACACATGCAGGAATTTTATCTGTACTTGGCAAGATGCAAACTTTGAATTGTAACAGTACTTCGGCGACGACTGAAGACGTTTCACGAGGACACAAGAACGCAAGTACGGGCAAGAACGCATATTGAGAAACAGCCTAGCACATGAGGCATCCTATTTTGAATCAAAATAAATTGAACAAAAGTACAGTAAATAAATGATGTCGACCAATTTGACATCGTACGATGTCTAAAGTGAAACATCACGATGGAAGTGACGTCGTAGGTGGCGGTAAATTAATTAATTGACTCATAACAAATTGATTATTTGTCGCCTACCGTTTCAACTACCTGACCCACAGAGTCTTTGTTCTACCCAAAAATAATAAATCATAAATAAATAGCGCATGTGTTTGGACTTGTGAGGTTAAGCAAACTCCACACAGAAACGCCAACTGACCCAGCCGGGACTCGAACCAGCAACCTTCTTGCTTTGAGGCCACAGTGCTAACCATTACCATGCCCCCACCTCAGTATTACATAACATCTCACCTTTGCTCGTAATCCCACTATCAGTGTGGCCCTCTGCCTCCTGCTTAGGAGTTCTGGCACTAAGTTGGTCATCACCGAAACAAACTCTTCCAGTTTTCCAAACTGCTCCACGTTCTGATCCTGGACAATCTGCCACATGAAGGCGGACGTGAGACGCAGAGGAGAAACCAGGAGCCGCAGTGAGGACAGAGACGGGACGAGATCTGCATATGGAGAGAGACAGAAAAACGTTCATCAGTATATAACCCACAGCTTGCCTGGTTTAAGATTCTGACAGTATGAAAACCTTGGTTTAAAATATCAAAATATTACAATTACTGCTCTAAAATTTGGGTAAAATAAAATGAATTTTCCCCCCGATTAGACAGACAATATATCTTATTTTAAGAAACATTTAAGAATATGTTGGAACAGTAAAGAATCATTGACTTCTGCTGTCTTCATAAGTAAAAAAAAACCACAGATTTCTTTTAAAATGGCATCTGTGGATATCTTACTTGTCTTTGGATATATTCAATTCAATTCAGCTTTATTTGTATAGCGCTTTTTATTGTGTCAAAGTAGCTTCACATAAATGGTCATAGTAACTGGATCAGGGTAGTTCAGTTTTCAGTGTTTAAGTTCAGTTCAGTTTAGCTCAGTTCAGTGTGGTTTGAAGTCGTTATTGAGAGTCCAAACCCTGAAGGAATCCATCAATGAGTAGCTTTTCAGATACTGAACCATGCAAGCCAGTGGCGACAGCGGAGAGCGAAAAAAAACTTCACAAATAGGAGAGTGAAGAAAAAAACCTAGAGAGAACCAGACTCAGTTCGGCACGACCATTTTAATTTCTCCGCTGGCCAAAAGTCTTGTGCGGAGTACAGCCACTGCACTGTTCATGTGTAGAGCATGTTTGGATGTCGGTTTATATATCTTATTTAAGACCAAGCATTCAAAGCAGTGCATCACAAGTTCTCACTGTTCTTAAACGAATGAATGTGCGAATATAAAACGCACTTCACCTCAATAAGCAATAAATAAAAAACAATAAATAAACCATAAAAGAAGCTGCAGTTACAAAGCAACTTCCTAAAGTAGGACATTTACTTAATATATTTAAGGAACAAGACTTGACGACTTTCGACATATATAGTGAAAAGTCTATCACTTTGACCCATACTACAGTGTTTCTAGCTATTGTCAAATACATAATTGAGGTAAAGTTGGTCTTATATTCACACATTCAGACTTTCTCCCTGATAATATAATTTCAGAAAAGTGTTTATTGCAAATTCCCCTGCTGAAAAATCCAGCTTAAACAAGCCTAGGCTGGTTGGCTGGTTTTAGCTGGTCGACCAGGCTGGTTTTAGAGGGGTTTTGGCCACTTCCAGGCTGGTTTCCAGCCTGGTCTTAGCTGGTCAGGCTGGGAGATGACCAGCTTAAACCAGCTTGATCAGCCTAGCCAAGCTGGGAGTCCAGCCAAAACCAGCTATATCCAGCTTTAACCAGGCTGGTTGAGCTGGTTTTAGCTGGTCATCTCCCAGCCTGACCAGCTAAGACCAGGCTGGAAATGGCTGGAAACCAGCCTGGAAGTGGCCAAAACCCCATTAAAACCTAGGCTGGTTT